CTAAACTAAAAAGAAGCAGAAACCATACAATACGTGTAGGTATTATAAATGATAATACAGTGACATGATCAACAAAAAAGAGAGACAGATCCTAGAAAGGTAGAGATCAAGACATAAAAATGGAGTGCAGTAAAAAATAAAAGCCAATGTGTCTTGCAAAGTGAAGACAAATGGGAAGAAAAAACTTCAAAACTGATTATATAAATGGTTCTTTAACATTCGCTTGAAGCAGTTGGTATCAGTAATACATCTCAACATCATTGGAAGAGAGTTCCATGCAATCGCGTCGGTGCATGGCTTGAGAAACGTCTGTCATCAACTTTGGACCTTTTATTCTTTGGTACCTTTAACATGAACATGAGATGGTCACCAGATCTTTTCGACCTGGTCATGGTGTTTGAAAGTTCTGTATCCACTACAGCCACATCTAGTAATGCTTTTAGGTAATCAGGTGCAGTACCGTGAACTGATTTGTGGGTTAAAAGACAAACCTTAAAGAAGATTCGTTGGTCTATAGGGAGTATGTGGGCCTTCTTATAGAAGGGAACCAAGTCCGTGGTTCTGTCTTCTATGATGATATGAATTAGTGATTAGTAACCGAATATCAACAGTTCAGTGTCAAAATAAAATGGAGCTCGACTTGGCTGTCAGCTTGACCGTTCCGTCACGTACTCGCTTGTATCACGTCGTGACCCCCATTATCGTTTCACTAAGTAGCATTTCTACTATACAGGGGAGCCGCGCACTCGTGCGCGGCGGGTCATACGACGTATGACAAGTATTCGCAAAACAGTTCTGTTGAGGTGCATGTAGCGGTGACATGTTTTATAGCGATCTATAACTTGGCCATTGTTAATGGTCTGGCCCGGCGCGCGCTATTGGCTACTTCGTAGCATGCTTCGAGAAGAAAGCGGCGCGCGCTACTTCGAAGAAATTTAGACGAGTAACATCCGTCAATCTATAACCGGAACAACCATATCAGAGAAATGCATTAAACTAATTCATATTTCCGAGTGATATTTAATGCCGGGTAATGTTTAAAACAAATATTAACGCGAGTATTATGTGCAGAATCAATATTCTTTCAATCTTAATAATCAATAATAACTAAGCAAGATCTTTTCATTTTAAAACACAAAAGGTTCCTAGCCAGTTTTCAAAGTCATGTAATAATAATTATTTGGTAATTTGTTATGTCATGTTGTATGCGCAGTGTTCTTTCAATTATATTTCATAACAAAATTGGTTTTACGTTATGAAATTTGAAGTGCATGGTTAATATAAAACTTCGCGCCGCGCAAATTCGATAATTCAACTTTTTCATGAACATTTAAAAATCGATTGAATCCGGTTTTAATTTTGTGTAGTTATAATTAGTAATTATATGTTTATCCAACTGCACAACATTTTAAATTGGGCCAAAAAATACATAAAATACAACAAAAGGATTGTAGAAGTCGAACATGGGACGTTTACACCGATAGTCCTATCAACCACTGGGGGTATGGGAAGGGAAGCTAATAAGTTCTTCAAGAAATTAGCGGATAAACTATCTAGGAAATCAGGCCAACGATATAGTGAGGCAATGACATTTATTAGGAAGAGAGTAAGATTTGACCTATTGAGAACAACAATCATAGCTCTTAGAGGAGAGAGAGGGTTGAAAAGTAGTAGTGCAGTAAAAATAGCAGAATTAGATATAAATTTGGAGCCAGTTCTTTAAACTGGTTTAATTATACTACTTAAAGGGTGTTTATAAATTTTATTTAGTTTTCTATTGAATTTATATTGAATTTTTATATAGGGTAATTGTTATATTATGTGTATATTGTTTAAATAATTTTTATCTTTTAATTTTGTTCAATTGGGCCAAATCAGGATATCTGGTAAAATTTTTTCAAATTATGGTGCGTACATAAAAGCACAATAATCTTTACGTACCTGTAGTATAAAAAGAGGACTGTGCTTTGTAAAACACCAAACCAAATAAAAGTGATATCACGGGATCTTTTAGCTTGAGATGTATTTCTATTTTAGTATTTATGCCACAGGTCTAGGCCATAATAATATATAATATATAATAGAAGGATTTAAGAAAGAGGTGATTTCTAAAAGTTTTGTAAATGGTAGTTATTTTTGGATTGTTTACGAAAATTGAGGGAACCAATTATGTTATTAATAAAGATGAAAGAATAGCATAATGAATATCTTAGGTTTATTCACCATGTTGCTACGAAACGTTTTTAATTAACTTATAAACTATAAAGTAGTGGAAAGTTTAATTAGGTAGATTTTTACTGGATCTTTAAATCTATAATTATTTTTAAACTTAAAAATGTTTGTAGATGTGTGATGATGTTGCACCAGTCATTTTCGTAGTTGCAGTTCCACATTCAATTTGTAATTGGAACTGGGTAACTACTTAATTTCATTGCATGCAGCTGCTGAGGAATTAGTATCATGGACTTCATGGTAATTTACAGACTAGACTTCTCAGTTAAACAAAAAATTTCAGTTAAACAAAAATTTCAATTTTATGCCATTTATTACAGATTAAACAAGTTTACAATAAATCAATTTGATATTTAACGGAATCCTAATTCAATGTGCAGTATGGTTGTCACTCTTTAAATAGATTAGATATAGGTTGACGGGGCAAAGGAGTGTGCGTGCTGTTCGCTATTGCTCACACCAAACGGCAACCTAGTAAATGTTTTGTTTGAACACCGGTCTCCATAACGATACAAAATTAGGATTGTAGAATTTATTGTATAACTATTAGTGCAGTGGAGGTAGCGGTGTGGTGCATTAATAGAGTGACAGCCTACTGATTTAGAGTTGTTTTTAAGTGAGCATAATGGGTGTATTTTTAGATCTAATGGCAACTTTAAAATTTCTTTTAGTCATTTATTAAATATCAGCTTAAAAATATATAAATCTGGAATCTGTTCACTCTGTGAACCAGTCCTATAAAAATTTCAAAAACCCTCCTAAATTAAATATTAAAAACGTCTCAGTAATGGAAATAGTCATACAATTAAAAATTAACCAAATTCTTAATATCTACCTAAGAGAAAAATACCTACCTAAGTCAATTTCTACCTGTAATGCACTAAATATTAGGTTAAATACATAGGTGGTGGAGTCAGCACACATTTACCAAAATCAAAATTGTTCAATAGGAGGAGCCTGTGGGCCGAGATCACTGGATTAAATTTGATGAAGGGGATTGTTTTCAAATGACAGCTGCATTATGTCATAATCGCTTGTGGTCCATGCCGAATCATTATAAGCATGTTGCAGCTTTAGAAGTGCCTTTTTCAGGCGACTTTTAGCAAGGCTAATCTTGTAGGAGTAGTCAAAGAGCTTAAGTTTAGGTGCAATTGTGTTCCAAATTTTGGTGGATCTTGATATAAAGTCATTAGATGGGAGTTGTGAAATGATAGTGGTTCCCTTTCTAGAAGATGACTGATAATGCTGTTGCAGTGATGCTGGGCACCTTAGTTTTAGTATTTTAAAAACTTCCATAAATGTGTGATATGTATATAAATTTTTGAAAGCCAGGATGTTTTGTTGCTTGAAAAGTGGTTTACAGTGCTCTAGTTGGAAGAATGTATGGTCAAGTGCCTGGCTGTCAAACTCTCTTGTTCTTGCACATGTAAGAAACTTGTTTAGGTATGCCTCTTTATCACCAAAGAGGACCCGTACACAGTGCTTCTGAGACAGCCAGATACTTGCTGTCCTAAAGAGTGCTGCATCACCCCAAACTGAGATACAATATGTAAGGTGGGATTCAAATAGTGTGTGGTATAGGTCTTTATGGAGTTCCTTTGGTACAGAGTCCCTAATTCTATTTAAAGTGGCAGAGGCATAGTTTAACTTTCGTTTAAGTGCTGTTATATGAGGCCCCCAGGAAAGCTGTTCGTCAATAACAACTCCAAGAAACTTAGTTGCTTTGGTTTTTTTAATTGGAAAGCCATCAATATGGAGTTGAAGCGAATCTGGCAATTCTACTGGTTTACTAGCCTTTGGTTTAAAATGCATATAACAGCACTTTGACATGTTGATGTGAAGTTTGTTAAGGATCATATACTTTTTTATACAGCTTAGCAATTTGTTGCCTTTCTCATAAGTTTCTTCTACAGTTTTTCCATCAATAAAAATGTTGGTGTCGTCAGCAAATAGTATGAAAGTTCCTAAATCCGAGGAATTGGCAATATCATTTATGTATAGAAGAAAAAGGAGCGGTCCCAAAACAGAGCCTTGTGGAACTCCATATTTAATGATAAGGTTTTCGGATTTTTCATTAAGGACTTCTGTATACTGTGTTCTATTTGATAAGTAGCTTTTAATAAGACAGTTTGCATTGCCTCTTATTCCATACCTATCTAGTTTTGTTAGGAGTGTACTATGGTCGATTGTATCAAATGCTTTACTCAAATCTATAAATATTCCTAGAACATGGTTTCGTTTTTTTATGCTATCTTCAATAATCCTAACAGAGTAGTTAACAGCATGGCTAGTAGAATGGGACTTGCGGAAGCCAAATTGGTTTTTTCACTTCTGGGGAAGATTAACACAAATAATGCGATTAGGATCCGGTCATGCTTACATCAAGTACTCTGGTTAGGAATTGTTTACCTTGTGACAAAGGAAAGATGAGGAGTCATGAAAGACCGGCAACAACGATGTAGAGATAAGAGGAGATAAGAGAATAGAAGAAGAAAGAGAGGTAGCTGAGGGATGCACGACAGGACAGATGCACGACATGACAGAGAGCTACGCCTTTATGGAAACTTTATATGTCTGTGGAGTGTGGATAATGATAGAGTATTTTATCTTTTCATGAAATTATGATAGATTGTACGTATGAACTTTTGGTTTCCTATCTTTGAATAATAGTAGTTATGTGATTATAATATTGCTATATGTCAATCAATGTGATTTACGGTACTGGATTTCTTCTGTTATTTTTATGATAAAAGATTTGATCTAAAATACTTCAGGTATTCATGGCATCTCGGTTTTTGAATGGCGTAGACCGGAATCCAAACTTTTCTGACCAGTTAATCAAGCTTATTCCTAAAACCGACATTCATTGTCACCTTGATGGGTCAATCAGATTAGAAACTCTGGTGGATCTAGCTAAAGAACAAAACATATCATTACCCTCATATAATCTTGATGAACTGAGAAAGACTGTCTTCAAGGAGTGCTACACTGATTTGGATGATTATCTTGTTCCTTTCCAATACTCTTCCGCTGTATTAAGAAATGCAAATGCTTTGGAAAGGGTAGCATTCGAAGTTGCAGAAGATTGTTACTCAGAGGGTGTGAGATATTTTGAAGTAAGATTTGCTCCACATTTGAACGCTGTGCCAGGAGAACTGTCAGTAGAGGATGTCATTATTGCTGTGAACAATGGATTGAAGCGTGCCACTGATACATTTAATGGTATAGATGATGATGTTCATAAGGGAGAGGCTCCTGAATATATGTATGGAATTATTGTATGTGGTATGAGATTTTTTAATGGTCACTTTTCACCATTCTTCAAAAACTTTTGTGAAATTTTCAAACATGAAAGCAAGAAAAAGATGTTTGGGATTGCAACTTTACAGCTTGTAAAATTGGCTGTTCACATGAGAGATACCCTGAATATTCCAATTGTTGCTTTGGATATTGCTGGAAGCGAAGCCAGCTTTCCTGCCATAGATCATGCTGAAGCTTTCCAGTATGCTCATGAGAATCATATGAACAAAACAATTCATGCTGGTGAAGCTTATGGTCCAGAGAGCATATTCCAGGTTGGTCTCTCAGATACATAGGATTCAACATATGCAAAAGATCAGCTTATAGGCAGATATTTATCAATTGAAAACTTAGCACTTATTTTGAATGTGAATATTTTTATGTGAGATAACTTTATCCACAGGCAGTGACTGCTTGCTATGCTGAACGAATTGGACATGGATTAAACATGTTTGACACTTCATTCTTCCATCCTGAAACTCCTGTGGTAGACAAACAGAAATATGTCGATGGAATCATCCGGTTCATTGCTAACAGAAGAATATGTGTTGAGGTCTAGTATTTCAAATCACTGTTCTTATCATCTTTATAACCATTTTGTAGTGTTGAGTAATACATGTAGACTGTCACAAATTTAACCTTTGGTGTTGCAGGTTTGTTTGACTAGCAATTATCAAACAGCTCCAAAGCTTAGAGCTGCACACCCTGATACACACCCTCTGAAAAGAATGATGGAGGAAAAGCTTTGTGTTTGTCTCAACACTGATAATAGGTTAACTTGAACTTTGCTGATGTTTTCTCCTGATATTTTCCTCATCAATGTATTCTCTCAATTCTATAAGAGGAACTTATAGGCATAATACTCAATGAAACAAGAAATTTCAATGAAACAAGAAATTAAATTTTAGCACATTTTAATTTTAGCACAATACTGATTTTTTTCAGGATGGTATCAAGAACAACCATGTGTGATGAAATCAGACTAGCTGTTGATGTATTCAAGCTGAGTAGAGATGATCTTTGGGAGTTGATAAGCAACGGATTTAGCAGTAGTTTTATGCCTGGCAGCTATGCAAATAAACTGGTAAATTTTGCTTGTTTTGTAATATTGAAGTGATAGTCTTTTGCATTGATTAGATTTTGTCTCCTACTACTGAAGTTCGTGATATTGTTTGTAATATATTTGTAATCTGCTACATTTTTTATCCTCGATCGTCAAATGAGTGGTGCAATGAAATTCAATTCTGATATTTTACCACCAAACTTGTTTCAGGAATACATGAGGAAGATGAAAGCTTTCTACAATCGAATTATAGACATGTGCACTGCAGCGTAATCCTAGTTTAAAACTTAATTATGCTTCAGCATATATTATTATATTGGACAGTTCACCTTTTTTGACTTGTTAACCCGAAAATAATTCGTTGTATATTAATAATTTATTTGATCATTGATCGTAAAACAATTATTTTAAAATATGCTTCAATGTATATGTGTACAATGAGCAGATATTAAAATAATTTTTAAAATTTATGATTGGAATTAATTCTACTGCTTTTTGTGTTGCTTAATTAATGTCTAAATCAATTTGAATGATTTTTAGGTTTCTAGATGACTTAATCATTTTGAATAAATTCTAATTTTCTATTATATTCAATTACATACTTGACTTTGAACTATTACAATCATGTACTATCACTTATGGTAAATATCCATTGATTTTTTAATCGATTGTGACGAATTTGAATTTTTCTTTCGAGTTATAAAACCCAACTAATTCCGACTTGGCATCTGTTTGAAAGAAGTTGCTTCATTTTAAGAACTAAATTATTTAAAAGATTGCGTATGAGGTTCGATAGTAGACAGTATGATCTAATGTTCGTTTTTAATTCGAATACTTTAAAATTATACAGGATCCACGTCTGAATTTGACACTGATTCAAGTAGGGTTATGGAGGCTGAGCAATGCTGTTTGAATCCCAAAGATTTCGTAACTTTCAAAACAGAAATCGATCTGCTCTGTGACGACGAAGTTGACGTTTTCAAGAGATGGGGGATACTGGAAGACATTCAGAAAACCAAGGTTTTACATTAATTGATAAATTTGATTTTCATCAACGTGCAAATTCAAAGTTTCTACGTCAACGATCACTGATTGTCAAACTCCCAACTATAATATTGTTTGCGCAAGTTTTGTTGGGTTAAAAAATTTAAAGTCATTTTGATACCTAACTATAACTTTGCAGGTGTATAACAATGTAAAGATGTTCCTAACTATAACTTTGCAGGTGTATAACAATGTGAAGATGTTCCTAACTATAACTTTGCAGGTGTATAACAATGTGAAGATGTTCCTAGCAGCTGGAGGTGTAGAAGTTCTCTGTTACGTGGCTGTGTCTGCCTCTTCTTTAACAGGTTCGTCTCAATAAAGCTAAAGGTTACTTTATGAAAATTTCACATAATCCTGTCCTGCCCCAGAAGTGAAATTTTACGAGGAATGTAGATTAGATCCAGAGTTTTGCGCAGTTAAATCAGCCTTTCAGAAAGCTGATTCCACCAAACTTCAATATTATCGCGAGTTTGAAGTTTGAAAAAACTTTTTAAGTCAACTCGGATGTCTACTGCAATAATACAAATTCCCTCAGATCGTTTGATCTACCTGGAGCACGAGGAAGAGGAGCCGTTTGTAAAGGAGCCTCTAGGAGGAATCCCACCTCTAGGGAGTCTCAGGGTGGGGTCCCTCACAGTTATAGCTGAGCTCACTAAGATTGAAGTGTATAGGAGGAGGATATGGGGTCTTAACATTATCCCTAAACTCTGTGCTTTGTTTACTAAAAGGATGGGGTATTTGTTGAAGTTCGCGCCGGATAGGTCGGTGTTTTGGTTTTTATGCTTCTTTTTTAAATGGCATTCAAGATTTGGTAGAAGTGTGTGTTTTTAAGCTTTCTAATGTTAATTAGAACTGAACCTAAACTGATATCATAAAATGTGAAATGATAACGAGCTTATTCAATTATATATTTGAAATCAAATGGCTTCATTGATCACATAGGTACATAGCGTTGAAACACCAACTTACGTTATGAATGTTGCACCATTGCTGTAAATTATACTCTTCAATCTGCTGATTTACCAATTACGTTATTGTCCGCCCTGTTATGGTAGGCAAAAGTAGAAAAGTCTTTGATCCCATACACTATGCAGGGAGAGTTTAACAAAAGGAGCACCAAAAGACCAAACCCTGTTACTGCTGGAGAAGATTCTGTACTGTTTATCTTATCTGGTAGTGGAGAACTCGGGTCTAGCTACTGAGCTGTTAAAGTTACTCGGTCACGAACTTGTACTTATCACTACGGTACGTGTACTTCTTAGCATCTCAGTTTGTGAGGTTTACTTTCTAGCTAATAGCAGACTTTTAGAGACTTAACACTCTTGTTGAATTTGTTATGGTATTTCTAAAGTTCTCAATACCAGTATCAGTAATAATACTCACCTCACTTTCCAGAAAATTCCACCAAACCTTACCTCCATCAGACAGTAAACAACAGAGTGATATGTGACAGTATAGCCCAGCTACTAGACCACTGCTTCCTCTACCAGCCTGACCTGGACGCAGTCCACAAGTTCCTGGCTCTGAACCCGCATGAGAAGCTGCACGCTATACGACCCAAGTGTTCAATGCAGAACGGCAGAGATCACTTCGACAGGTACTTTAAAGCGTGTAAAACCCCGGCAAACCCCGGCTCCATAACCCCGGCAAAACCCCGGCTCCATAACATGAAGGCCTAGTTTGCGGGATTCTGTATTTGTCAGTTATTCGAGATTGATGAAAACCATTCAAGTTATATTAGTTTACTCGATCAAGAAATTTTCTGAAATTTCAGCAGCACTGAAATTATAGAATTAAAAATAATCGTATCCAAATCATAGGTTCATGATAAACCTGGACTCATACAGTGTCCCTAAAGAAGAGCCCAAACCTCTCAGAAAATACGACAAAGTTCTCTCTTGTGGTAAGAGATATAATATTCAGATATTCTTTCGATATTTAATATTCTACGCATAAGAGTTACCTATATTAATTATTACTTAAAGGCGATAGACAATAAATGTTTCATTGTTACCAGAATGTTTGAATAATAATTGTTAGCTGAAATACCTGAGCTTGATTTAAACGTTAACTCAGTTATCATCGAAACTAAGATAATATATACTTAGGAATACCCTCGTATACACTGCACAGGTTCATTGATCTCGTATGATCGAGTGAAATCTTTCGAACATTGAAGACTTCTCATTCCAAACCAAACACCGAGTGTGCCCAATTTTATGGGGGGCAGTGATGATCACTGAGTGATCGCATTATGTGGATGAGTCAGACCTTTGGGCTTACGCTATGGAATTTGATTTCCATTGCATAAATTAATCTATTTTTTCTGCTGGGTTCTAGATTTATTGACTTGAAGAATTACAGGACCGCGTAGTAGCTAGTTACAGAACCTACTTTATATTGTGTAATTCTATTGAGGAGGTAGCCTCACAAATCTAGATGTTGTTGGGAAAATAAGAAGGATGCTGTTAGGTCCAGAAGATTCTTTAATAAAGAATCTACCTATTCTGCTGTTTAGTATGGATTGTGACCAAAAATATGGTCTGTGTTCTATATTCTGATTTGAAATACACGCACTGTTGCACACAGAGTACAGACGTTTCAATTAAAATTATTTTTCACACATTTTAAAATGTTTAAAAAAAGCAAACTAAAATTGTAAGGTTATATTTACGCAAATAAAGCTAATAATATTCAATACTTAAATAGTGATTACCCTCACACAAATACATTATATTACAGGTAGCTGTGGGGCGACGAAGCAGAAGATGCCGGTATGTAGAGGATGTAACGAGGTACACTACTGTAACGCAAAGTGTCAAACCAAACACTGGCTAGTTCACCAGATCACGTGTGTTAAAGGGTAGTCACGTGTTCTGGCACGTGACGTGCCATCTAACAGCGGGATCGGACACGTGCCATCTAGCTAGGCTTCCTGCTTGAGATTTGAGCAGCGCGACACGTGTCATCTTGTGTTACATGAACTATTTTGAGCTTATCCATGAAGATAACTTACCATTTAATAGTTATTTTAAGTATCGAGTGGATAAAAGTGCTAAAGAACTGTTGGTTGAACTGCAACATGGATCAGTAAAGTAAAGTGTGTTATTGTATTAGTATAGTAGATAATGATACGAGTAGGTGTTTCTTGGATACTGATAAAAAACACTGTACTGATTATAAATTTAGTAAATATACAATGATATCGTATTATATAATATAATACTCGTTTGGAGGGGATGAATTACAAATAATAATCGGCAGCTGCTGTTAAAATTTATTCATAACATTAAAAATTTTAGAGTTACGATAATGATCACGCAGTAATTTAATATGCCAAGATTTAACTAGAATCCACGGCTGTACTTAAATTAGAAGTTTGCTATGTGTGTGTTACTGAATAATAATGAATTGCGTGGAAAATATCATTAGCATCTTATGAATCGAATAGTTGATTACGCAATGATGCATTATCGTGATTACGAGTAATTTATATTTGTGGACTGTGGTCCTAAGCCTCAATTCCTAATTCGTAATTGTTCCGAAATCCGAATTTGTAATTTAAATTGTACATAGTTTAACGCATTTGTTTGTAATAATATATTCGTATATATACGTAGTTGTAAGCTATATTTAAAAATGTATTTTGTATTTTTTGTGTGTTAGCTTTTAGTTTCAGATAGTGATAATTTAATAATCATATTATTTATTGTAATTTATTGTCAGAAGTAATACGTTGTTTATCATATTTCGTTTATTTGTACTCTGTAGTTCACAAGTTTCACGCTGGTTTTACTCTCGCAACTTAAAACTAATGTTAATCATGTAAATAGATAAACATAATAATATAATCAGAGTAGAGAGGTGGTGGCATGGTAAATTATAAACTTGCACCAGCTACGGTTGAGAAAATTAAAAATCACATGAGAGTAGAGATCATGATACTATTCAAACATCTTCAAGCAAGGGGTATTGGGAAACTGGGGGAAACTGGGGGAAACTGGGGAAAACTGAATAGAATGATCATGGAAACATTCATCAGCTATCGTATTTCAATTTTATTTGGAGAAGATATATTAAGATTGTAGATGGACAAAGCACTACTGGTGTCGTGAGCACGGCTTACAACAAATAATAGGAATGGTACTCTGAAATGTATGACGTAATATGTGAACGACCCCTAGATGTTTCCAGTTACCGCCTTCTTTTGTAAGACGTTTTTTTTCTAATGAGTCTTTTGTTACAATAATTAGGTTCAACATTGACTGCATGTGAAGACCATTGTACTTGTAATGAGCCTGGCACATTGTGAGCAAACTGTAGTATGAATAAACCAGCCAGCCTTGGCTTACTCAGGAGACTGCAATTTGCCCGCCAAAACAAAAGTAAGAATCACAAGTCTCAAGTGTGATACGTACTGTGATGTATAGCATTGTCGTATTGTCACAACTCTCGGCCAACTAGAGCACCGATCTGTTAAGATATAAACCAATCTGAAGGACGGAGCTGCATGCACTCTGTAGAGGAGCAAACTTCTGATTTCAGAGCAGCAGCTTTACCTGCGTTTATACAAATCCCATTTAAAAGTACAGTGCTAATCCTAACCACTACAAACAGCCGGCCCCCATAGCCTTAGTACCTAAAGACTCTAGATGTCTCACAGCATCGGCTTTGTAGCTTTGTGTTTCAGTACCTTGACCTTGTAATAGTGGTGAATTGTATTAAATTATCCTGAATCTTGTCCAGTGCCCACCATTGCATTATTGCATATTTAGTATTATGTATTTATTTTTTATTTGTAGCGTGGTTTGCCTCCCAGACATCGCATACTTAGTGTTTCAAAATGGCCAAATCATTTAATATCTTGTATACTACTTCATGCCCAGCATAGATTATATGGTATTTCCGGAATGGTCCGCATAATTCATGACTGATCGTGCCAAGCATTCCATAATATATTCATGATTCAAGATGGTTTCTTTGAACATTGAAGATCTTGTGCCATTCATGCTGCAACGTGCCCAGCATTGTCTATTTAGTATTTGCAAATGGTCCCCTTTTAATTTATGATAAATTATACGGTTGTTATCTCATTATCTCATCATCTCATTATCTTGCCTCATAATCACTTAGATATGTAATTTATTGTCATCTTACCTCATAATTATGAAATTAATGCACAGCAGTCGGGTGTTACGAGATTGCATGTATTTGTTACTTCGAGGACAAAAGCAGTTGTACAGTTGGTAACACATTCTACAAGACTTGTCTTCTTTCATACAAACTGTACTTCGTTGTGATAAAAAAATCCAATCATTTTATCACAGTTTTCGTTAAGAAAGGATTCAAATTCATTTTGATTGTAACTTAAATGAATTGCAATTTGTTGCTGACGTCTCCGGTATACACTATCACGTGCCCCATTCGTGATTGTTTATAACCACGCCTAATTGACGGTGTAGTCATTGAATAAAGGGATAATTGTCTACATGCCCATTTTGTCTGTCTACTTCTATCAGTAATCAGACATTATTATTCTCAAAGCATCATATCCCTGTCTAGAATTGATGCTACTGTTGATAAAGTTCCAAACGACTAATATAATTGCGCTGATATATTGACTCAATCGTTTAAACTGCTAGACTAAACGGCAAACACATGATAACTTCAGTGGCGGTAACCTCAATAGTTCACATTAAAACTCATTGTCGTGAAGGCTGTTTATCAATAGTATTATAAGCGTTTAATGAATTATTGGCTATTTCGTCTGAGCCTGGTGGCTACTCGTTTAACAGATCTTCTCTTTGTCGCTTGGCCGTTCAACCTTGACTTTCATTCTATCAACACTGTTTAAATTTCGTAATATTCTAATTTTTACCGAAATTCGTATTGATGGTTGGATAATATCCGGTTGGAAGAGACAAGGACAAATGAAACAGGAAGTTAGGAATGTAGGCCAACTACCGAAATTCGTATCTTCTGCTTGTATAAGCACGTTATTAGCTATTTTGTATTTTCGTCCATCGTTAAAATAGTTAAACCTTCCTTAATTTAATGTAAAAAGCTTACATTTTGTGAAACGGTTACTCAGAAGTCTGATCAGACTCTTTAATTGTAATTGTAATGGTCTTAATGATTTGAAAATGTGTTTAAAGCTTACGAGTGTATTTAATAATATTTATCATATAACTTATATTATAAGTTGATTTAAATAAATCACCTCTCAAAAATTCACCTTCCAAAATAGTCTTGGAGTCCATTTTAGTACGGATGAAGATCTGTGATAAAGATATAAATTAGGCCCATATAAATTTATATCTGAATCTATGCCGTTAAGCTGTAGCCATTCTTATCTTCCACACAAGTTCCTCACACTATCTCCGTATTACACTAGTGAACCTCTTTGGACTGGTGTACCTTCCTTTTGCTATGGTCCACAATCAAACAAGTAATAATTATAAAGCTGGTAAACCAATAGACATCACCTATTAGACACGCAGACATGCATAAAACATGAATATTAATTCTGTGGTCTCGGTGTCCCAATATCAGTAGATGTCTGGTACATGACAATGCTGCTTCTATTACTGTCAACTGTCAAGTATTCCAACCGGATATTATCCAACTATCAGTATTTCAATCATGAGACTAATGAACAGCGAACTACTCCATCATTTGATAAGTCAAGTATTGTGATTGATTGACCGTTTGTTTGAACTTTCTGCTGTGTTTGTTCTTTAGACAATAAAGCGTTTAGCTCTACGTTAAAAGTTGAATTAAAGCAAGTAGATTGACTTTTCCTGAAAAAGTTTCCTTTATTTCATGGTTTTTTTAATACCTTTAGCTTTTGTCTAGATGATCACATTCCTTTTAAAAATAGTCGTATTGTTTAAATTTTCTTTGACTTGATTATGGACTTACATCTTTGATCTAAATAAAACAACAACTTTAATAATAAAACTACAGATTTAACATAACTAGCAGGAACCCGTCTTACCCTAAAGTGGTGTCAAGACTCGAGAGACTAAAATAATTATTACCTATTTAATTCGCGTTTTTGACACCACTTGAGAGTCCAAATTTTGCGCACTAAAATTATTATTCCTTGGCCAATTTTTTATTTTTTCACGCTGATTCGAAGGCCATTAAAGCATTTGACCCAGTCAAAAAAGTTTCAGTTGTATATCTTTTACGGTTTTTGCGGAAAGTCGCGTTAAAGTTGATGCCGTGGTGTCAGTAAAATGGCACGGATATATACACATATATATATATATCGTCTCGCTTTATATATAGTAAGATATACATGCCAAGTGCCAACTTTTTACGACGCAACTGCATTCAATTTTTGTATGTAGTGCTGCTCATTAGAAAGTGCTTACTTTGTTGGAAATATTGACAAATATTAATCTAAGGTACTAAGGTAGTCCAAGCCACGCAGTCTTAAGTTCACTTAATTGTCTGGTTTGCAACGCAAACATTTTAACAAAAGATATTATATAATTAGGGCAATCTAAAAGTCTATTGTCCACATTATCCGGCTCTTTAAGTCTTTTGGTTCGTTGATATAATTGAATTTTAAAATTTTGCAACATATTATCAGCTTTGTCTTATTTACACGCACTGATTTTTGGTTTGCTAAAAAACTCAGTCTCCTGTTTCAAGTATTTCAGATTTTGAGATAACATTTTCTTGTTTTAAACATTGTTTCGGTTAAAAAAGATAAATTTCACTTTGAAGACATGAAATAATCTGATATTTGGTAACATCATTTTTCCAGCGGATGTTTTTTTAAATTGCGCGATTCTATGTTCTTCTTTGATCAATTGCACTCAATTTGGCACGGTATTCCGTTCATGACTTTCCCAAAAAACGTGTTGCAGCTGACAGTCTGACTCAGAGACGTGCACCACCGCGATTAGGATATCTCTGGTCTGACAGTCTACGAACATAATAACTAGATTATTAGACTCCCTTTTCCTTGATTATGAGCATGCTTCAGTTGTGGATATCCTAAGTCCTTATACAAATGACTGATGACTTGCTTTAGAATTTAGGCGTCAGAAAATTAAGTTTGTTTTGACTCTTAGCCTAACGTTGATTCGTTATTAAACGGCGGACAAAAGATCACTTTTGATACTGTAGATCTTATCCTTCCTTTATTAACTGCTACTAAACGATATTGTAGATCTCATTCTCCTTAAGTAACTACTGTAAATCATACTATTAGTGACTATCCCTCTTCAGATGAACCTCTCCATCGGACACTACAACGATCACGTAGACATGTTACCAGGACCAGTACACTGGATCATCTGCGACAAAGTCCTATCCATCCTCCTCATCATCTTCAGTATCCTCGGTGTCCTAGGCAACTCAGCGGCTTGCACTTACTTCCAGAGCAACAATAAAAAAGGGTTAGCACCGAGACTTTACACCATGATCTGTGTTGTTGACATCGCAACCAGCCTCTCCAGTTTCCCTGCAGCAGTCAGCCTCTTTGCAGAACGGAAACCAGTTCTCTTCAACAACAAAACGTTCTGTACGATATGGAACATAGTGTTCAGATACGTGCAGATAATCTCCATGTACCTCGTCCTGCTTCTCAGTATCACCAGGTGTATCCTGATCGCCTTTCCGTTTCACAGTATTCAGAAACAGTGGGTTCTTGTCTCCATTGTCATCTACACTGCGTATCTTATGGTGAAGAATCTGGTGGTCGCTGTTACACCCTCCTTAAACTTGATCAGCCAGTATAGTTCAGATGTTGCTTATTGTTACGATT